AACTTTATTATGAATCCTAAAAGACTTGTGGATGTCAATAATTTTATTTGCAAGTACGTCATATGTCTGGCATCCTATAATCCTTTTAAGGGCTAAGGCTACATATCTTCTTTTTAAAGTCCTAGGGTCTAACCAATGGCCTGTGATTCCCAAATAAGCTCTAAAAATATTTAATAAGATCAATTTATAAATATAAATAAGTTTTTACCTTCTGTTATGTGTCCAACTATCTGCCGTACACATAAGATATATCTGATAACCCTACTATTAGAGCATCTTTCATCACTTTGAAGTTGTTGGCTATTTTATTCATAAGTGTCTGGCGACATAAAGCTGGCCAGGGGATAAAGTTTTAATCATCATAGTAAATGATGGATTATCAACCAAGGACAATGGCTGAACTGTGTCAATAATAAAATCAACAATTACTTTATCAGCCAATTTTTGTGAAATATTGGCATGTTTATTATCAGTTAATTTGGTTTGGATAGTATTTGTTTTTTGAATGAAGATTCTCCTATACCAAAATTTTTTATATGTTTCTCTATTTCCTTATAGCAATTGGCGTGAACAGTCTAATAAAATAAATAATATTATAATGTAAAAATAACAATTTACCTTTAGATGTTTCTTCAGGTTATAGCTACTCGATTGATTTGATGATATATTTTTTTTACATTTTAAGCACAGGAATTTGAATCCAGATTTTATTTTAATATATATTTTAAAAAATTTTTCAAATCTAGGGAATGGGAAATCGTTATTAGAGCTATTAAGTACATTTTCTTCCATTGAATCTTCCATGTTCGAATCACTTTCAAGGATTTGGATATCCATGGGCGATGCCATTTTAGATTATTAACACAGATTGAAAATATAAATTAAAAATTGAAAATATATTTAAATTTCAAAATTAAATAATAAATTATAAAAATTATAATTAATTATCATATTATATTTAAATTTTCATGTTTATACTTACATTTATTATATTTTTAAAAGTAGCGAAGTAGCGCGCTACTTAGCTACTTTTAAAAAAAGTTGCGCGCTAAAAAATTAAATATTTTTAAAAAAAGTAGCGGCTATTAGCTATAGCTACCAAAAAAGATAGCGCGCTAAGTAGCGCGCTACTTTAACAACTCTGGTTACGAATATGTAACACTAAGTATATTAGCGATCCGCGAGAAGGCTTCTTCCTCAGACACAGGCTGGTTATAGCTATCCTTAAAGCGAATTATCAAAGTTTCGATGGCAGTCTTATCTCCACAGACCTTTGCTATATTCACTTTTTATTCCTTATTCTTATCATTTTACACTGAATTTACCTTTATATTATTTAATATGGATTTTTTTTTCGTACATAAATGATATATTTATTAATTGATAAATAAAATTACTTTTATTATTTAAAAAAAACCTATATAAATTATTTATGGATTTTTTGATGCTTCCCCAATTTTTTTATTACTTTTAAAATTTAATAAAGTAATCATTATTAAATACAAAATAATAACATTATCTAAAATTAGTTTTCGCACGCAGATACTAAATATTTATAAACTACGATATTTTTTTAGGAAAATTAAATTTATATCAATTACTTAACTTAACCCATTTTATGCAACGCATTACTTTTAAAGATATTTTTAAAAAAAAATGAAAATGGGGTTAACTTTTAAGATTTTTATTCACATTATCTCAACTGTTGCTAAAAAATTTTCCTTATCATTTTGAGTTAAATTTTGATTTTTTTTAAAGGATAAATAAAACTAGTTTTTTTTTGTAAAAAGATAAATTATACAATTAAAAAGGTGGGGAATGTTTTGTGAAAATTTTTAAAAAACTTATTTAATTTAAAAAAATGTATATTAATTGACCTAACCTTTTTAAATGAGTTGTTGTTTTCTTTTATTTTTAAAAGAGAGATCATTTAATAATGAAGCTAACAAACATATCTCCTGGCAATAATCTCTCCAATTAAAAAAGTTATTACCAAAATGATTCTGTTTATCTCTTTGTTTATAAGAATGAGATTTCATTGTAATCATAGATGAAAATCGCTTATAAAATTAGCAATTTTAATTAGATATCTATAGTAAAAAAAAATTCGCGATTTAAGTTTCGCTTTCGCTCTAAAGTGTTCGTTAGGTTTCGAAAATTTGAAATCCCTGTAAGGTTTTATCGAAAAACTGGCAGAATTAAAGTTTTGCTGAATTGCCTAATACAGTTTTTATTACCTTACGATGACTATGAAATAAAATACAGTAAATAAAATTAACATAATACTACTAATAAAAGAAGTATTTTTTTGAAAAGTCTTATTTACTTTTTAATTTACAAAGTAAAACATAACATTATACTACTTATGGAAGTTTTTTTGAAAATTTTTATTTATAATTTAAATAAAACATAACTTTATAATACTATGAAAGAAAAGTATTTTTTTGCTAATTTCAATTATACCTTTTTAATTTTATATATTCTTTTTTATGCTAATCCCAAAACTAGATGGGGTCTATCCTTCTATATGGCTCGGCTTCGGGCCATATCAACAACAATTCTCTTATCCAACATGTCCTTGCGGATTTGAGAAATTCAAGATAATCGTGGCCTGCATTTAGTTCTTTGGCCCGTAACATTAAGATCGAGAACTTGCCGCCGCCAGTCTTAAACCCATTCCTATTTCCCGAGAGCTACGCCTATCTTTTTTTAAGCTATCATTGGTCAAGGTCATATGATCTAGTTTGGTGTAACCTAGGCTCCTTCTGATCATACGCATTTCAGTTACATCCAACATCTTTTTCTTAGCATCTTACAATGCCCAAGTTTCATACCCATACAATAAGACCAGTCTACGATAATTTGATAGGTCTTACCTTTAAGCCACAATGGTACCGCAAAACATTTCTGATATGCTTATCCATCCAACCCTTGTATCCTAGCGTTGACCTCGTCAAGACAACCTTCGTCTTGATGTATTGTAGACCATTGTGGACCCTATAACTTTACAACTTTTGGATATGGAGCAGTATGCATTGTTCCTTGACATTGACCTCCAGCGTTTGTTGCTAGATATATTGTCTTAGACGAACTGATCAAGACTACATTTTACCTATCTAACTGCCCAAACAACGGTCCGCTGTACTGCCATTATCTCGGTTCCCTCGTATATCATGATGTCATCTGCATACAACATTGACCATGGACTGAGAGTCCTCGGTTTAAGTATTGAGGATGAGTACGAAGAGAAAGGGACTTAACGCTGACTAGTTGTAACCCAACTTCTATGGGAAACGATCTTCAGTCCCCGACCGCCGTTCTAACTATTGAAGCTAAATCCTCGTACATATACATCTAATAAGTTGTACATAACCCTCCGGGATTCCTCTTTTGCGTATACATCACCATATCAGATTTTGCCTTTTCCAGGTCAATGAACGCTATATGCACTTCCTTCCTCATCTCCTCATATTTCCATCAATGTTCAAAAGGCAAAAATTGGATCAACAGTCGAACAGCTTTGTACAAAACCAAATTGATTTCCAGATACTTCCACTTCACCCCGTAGTCGACTCAAATGATTTTTTCCAAAACTAAAATATTATTTATCAACTTTATCCCAATATAATTCGAGTATTCTTAGGGATAGTGTTATGACACGATTTGAGCCGATTTTTAAAAACGGCTAACTCAAGATTTCAGTTAGAAAAATTTGAGATTTCGGTAATAGATGTCGAAACCTTTGTGCCATCTATGAACAAATTCTTCAAGCGTGCGCTATATTTTTTTGGATAATTTTTAAAAATCGGCTCAAATTGAACCGTTTAACTACACTACTTGGGGGTCACCTTACCTTTGTAGATGAGCATGATGATGCCCTCCCTCCAATCAGCTTTGTCTTTCATCATGATTTTGTTTAACATTCAGGTCAAGGCTTCTACCCCTTTTGTCTCTGCACTCAACCATGCTTAAACAGGTATTCCATCTGGTCCCAGATCTCTACCCTTCTCCACCTTATGGACCCCCCCCCAGATTTGAGTTTGATTTATTTCTAGCACGTTCTGACCCAAATTTAAAAATTCATTTTTAGTCTGCCCTGGCCTGGGTTTTTAATTCTTAACGAACCTGGATTGTTGAATTATTGGTGATGTTACGATCTAGATCGGCTCGGATTTTTTTTTAATATTGCAATTTTTATAACTATGTAAATTTTTTAAGCGATTAAAATTAAAAAATCAAATTACTGCCCCCTCTGGCCGAGATTCAGGCTTGCAGGTCTATGAAATTAAGATGCACATATTTTTGCACCTAGGAATATAATTAATGATAACTTTCATATCCCAATATATGATCTACTAAATAATCTTAAATTTATGATCCCATTAATAATATATTTTTTTCAATGATATAAGATATTTTAGGCAGTTTAAAAATTAATACACTGCTGAGCCCGCTTGTGACCCTTCCTCAACTAAAATGCTGCATTCATTGTGTAAATTATAGAATAAAATGTTTAATTCCTACTTTATACCTAAAAATGTTTCATAGTGCATTGAAAATATGAGTTATGTATGAGTACAAACAATAAGGAAATATATTTATGCTTTAAATTTTAATAAATTTTGATATGTGAGGTTAGCCAATAACATAGTAAATTTAAAGAAAAATAATTGTTATAATCGATCGAACAAATGTTCATATAAAAAAATTCAGATTTGAATATTTTTATATTAAAATTATTTATAAATCTTAATTTTATAGTTTAATAAATCAAATTATTATCTTTATGATTATTATTCAATCCATCCATCCCTATTTTTAAATTTTAAAGAATTATTAGTAGCACGCCATTTTTATTCAAGAAATCGCGTTCAAAAAACCCTATTGATTGGACTTAATCATATTTATATAAAAAATAATAATCATATATTTTTCTTGATTTGCATAATGTTAAAAATATTCGGATTAATAAATGTTTTTCTTTAAAATTTATGCAATAGAATTTTCCAGGCACCTCTATATCTCAATTTAAATACAAGGCACAGTCCTGTTACCAAATCAGCCTTTTCTCATTTATGTAGATTCTCATTAAACAACATCTTATAAAATATGCGGGACGTTACCAAAATCGAAACAAAAACCATCAAAACTAATGGTCATTGCACTGTCCCGCTAGTGGGCACCCCTATTTTCTTTTCCGAACGCCGTAAGACCAAAACGTTTTCTTCCTTCTCCGTCAATAATGCCTTTAAATCCTTACGGCTTAAAAGGCGAACCAAAGAAAATGATTTTGAGGAATCCGCGTTACCATTCACCACGAAGGCTAACGGAGTTAAGCTCAAACACGAACGCAATAATTGCACATGTGGCGATAATAATGAATGTGATTATAAAAACGTTTCTATTAATAAACCATCCATCTTTAGCGGCCTTCTCAAGTTAGACAACCTGTTTTACACTCCGACTATTAACCAAAACCAACCTAGAAAAACGACTCCCACAATTTGTAAATCAAAAGGTAGCCACCTACCACAACCTTCAGATTTCCGCAGTATTTCCTCGAAAAATTTGAATGCGTCTCTATCCTATTCCAATATCAACGCTTTAAAGAGTTCCCCGCGTCCGAATAAAAAGGCTATGAATGCTAATTACAAGGATAGTTGCGACAACGAAACAACCAGCCGTGCTAGAAAGTCAGCCGAACCTCGCATAAATTTCTGGGTTTACAGGAAGAATGTCTGCAATAATCGAATCGCTGATCATCGCAAGAATGATGCCAATAAAATAGCAGGTTTGCCGAAAAACGAGGATAACAAAATAATGGATGACGTTTACCGGAAATCGAACGATGATTCTAGTTTGAAGAATGACAAAACAAAGGGTGATCACGATATTTACCGTTCTTTAAGATATTCGAAGTCAAGTCGTTTAGAAAGCGTTATCAACGAAGCACCTACTTTACCATCCTTCCCTAGGCCTAATCATTTAGAACCACCTCCGCCTCCTGTCATTGCTACTCACATATTAGATTCTTCTTACCATTCGCGAGACCAATACGAACGCTTAAATTGCGATGAAACAACCAATAAGGAGAATAAGAAAGTTTGATATTGTTTTATTATTATTTCCTAATATGTAGCTTATCCGATTCCAATAAATATGCTTCGCTCATTAGTCCCACACCCTCTCCTCAAAAACTATATATTGCTCACAGCAAGGTGGTTGTATATAGTCATATATTTAAAAAATTAACATCTGATGCTAAGCTGAATCAATCAATTTTTTAAATTTGTAAAATGAATTAATGATGAATTTTATAACCTTGCTGCATTAGCACAAAATTTTAAAGTTGGGGAGGTAGGGGGGTTTATGCATTTAATCTTAAACCATGATTAACTATACAACCAATAAGTAGGTAACAAATTAATATTTTAACACAAATAAATATAGGATCGGGTTCAGAATTGTAGCGAAATGGAGAAACAGCAACTTAACCATATGCTCAGAGTTTTAGGTGATTACGACCCGCCCACGAATAATAACACCTATTTACAAAACAATTATTCAACACACCAGATTATTAAAAATTCTTTAAACATTGGTAATGATTAATGATTAAATTATGCCTGCTTTTTGTTAGAAAAATAAAATAATATATACAATGATTCATTGTAAGTTATATATAACCAAATTCTCGATTGTTTATATCTACTCTAACTTTTTTTACACGAATGTATGAGTTTTTTTGTGAAAAAATTTATTTAATCTTTGTAAAATATACTTTGAAAACGTTGTTTTTATTAAATAAATTCAGATGAATCAAACACACTTTCCAATTCCATTGAGGATTATTACGATGAAACTTATAGCATGAATCGCACCCATACCGATAGCACGAACTGTAACGATTGTTACGAGAGCAAGGTGTCAAAAGAAAATGGATTAGATAAAAGCTCCAATCCTTCCATTCATCCCAACAATAACAACATTGCAATCGGTATAAAAACTAATGGTTCTCTGCCCAGAGAGCGTAAACAAGGTGTTCTCAATCATGTCAACGCGGCTATCATAAAACAACAAACTTTGCAGAACATTGTCAGCGACGTGAATCCGGGATTCGGTCTTGACGATAATTTTAGATTGGATTCAACGAATGTCGCATCCGTTATGTCCTCTCGTTCTTTCCAGGGGGGAGATGTGCCTGAAAATTCTCCAAAATTGATCACATCTAGTCCTTACGAACATTATTATAATTATCAGGAATCTTTTTCTTCGCCAGTAAACGCATTAGCGGGCGTTAACTATGATCTTAGCGAAAATTATCCAGTTTCTATATCACCTATCAAAGAAGATACAATAGTATTATTACATTCATTCATTTTTGATTGATTTTTCTAAAAATAAGTTTATTTATGTTTATAAAATAAGTAATGAGATAGATATCTCAAAACATACAAGCCATGGTCTTAAAATTAGTTTTGACTGGAATAATGTCATTTTACAAAGTATTCTTCCACGATGCCTAGGAGTTAAAGAAAAGACCTCTGGCTATTAGTGTTAAAGCCCGATTTGGGTCGATTTTTAAAAAACGGCCCGATTGAGATTATAACCAAAATAATATTGTGTATGCTTGGTGATTTTGCTCATTGACGGCGGAAAGGTTTGAGCTTCTACTTGCCAAATCTTGATGCTTGCACAATATTTTGGCTAAAAATTGACACAAATTAGGCCTTTTATCAATACTACTGGTTACAAGTAAAATGTATTTGTCGAAATCCTGGTACAGTCAGTGATAATTATTTATAGCATAATCGTAGTCATGGTTGGAGAGGGAGCGTGGGAGCCTTCACTTCTAGGAAAATTGTAAGTTATTTATAATATCATTTTGACATAATAAAAATTACCCCCACCCCCAACTCACATTCTCCTACGCTCTATCTTCAAATAATGAATACTCAAGCGGGGAAATTGGCTTGTCTTGGACGGCGATATTGAGAGGAATTAGTAGGGTGTTTGACGTCGGTTGAGGGGAATTGCTTTGTAGAATGGATATTAGCAGTAGGGAATGAGAATATCAAGCAAAAAACAGTTTTATTGTTATATAAAATTAACTATAAATTCAATATAATTTAAAATTAACTGATGCAAATGTAATTTTTTCATGAGCTTTATATTCTTTTTTTATAAATGTAAATCAATTACGATTATAAAATATAGCTGCAAACTCATACTAACAATTTAAATTTAGTAAAAATATAAATAAAAGTTAATATAGTACATATTATGTAACAAATACAATATACCATTATTATAAACAAAAATATATTTAAATTAAGTTCGGAATTCTTTAAAATAATTGCCAAAGAAAAAATTTGGGTGGGAAAGGGGGGGGGGGGGTTAGGTGGAACTCCAACCAAAAGTCATTAATATCCTGGCAAAGCTTGTTAAATAGTTATTTCATGAAGTTAAGTTATGTGGAATTATTATAAGCTTTAAATATTATAACAATATTCTTCCTTTATATTTTCTTTTTTCAATTTACGGGATATATATTTTTTTAGACTATATGATATAACTATTTTAATATATTTTTTCTTATTAGAATATTAATAATAACGATTGAGACAAAAATTTATTATATTTGAATTTAAAATATTCCTTGGATATTCGTTTTAATTCTTTAAAAAAAATAATAAAAAAGCATTATAAATTTAAAAATTATATATTGCGCCATCTACTGGATATTAATTTATTAAATCATTTTTTAAATTATAAAATGATATTATTTTTATAAAAGTTTAATAATTAACTAATTATAATTATGAATGATAAAATAAAATATAAATACCTTTATTTATTTCAATTATCATAAAAATGCAACAAATTGGATAGAATCTATATTTACTTTAGGGAGACACTTGTTGATGTAATAATATTTTGATATATAATGGTCAAATAAATATAAACAAATTACTTACCTGGCGCAAGGGCAACTGTGATCATGAAGGCGGTTCCCTTAGTCGGAGGCTTTGCTATTGCACTATTGGTTGAGCTGAAGGCTACGATTACCTCAAATGTGGGTAATTCGAGCGCATAATTTCTGGTAGTTGGGATTTGCGTACGCGCAAATCCCTTAACAAATTAATTTAATTTAGAAGTTGATCAATTTTAATGTCAAAATAAGTCCAGTTTATCATAATATTTTTAAAAAAGCTTTCGCGATTAACTAAGCACTGATTTTATAGAGTTCGAGAACCTATTAAGAGTGTTCTTAGTAAACTTTTAATATTTTGGTGTATACTACAAACGCATACAATATGTGTTCCGCTAGCCCATGCTAATATAATGGAACTTAAGCTAGCAAATTTTGAAAATGCAATTGTCATGTTAGAATTATTCTAAAATTATATATATTTTTAAATTATTAAGAAATAGCTTTTTTTGCTCGTTTACATTTTTCAATGATCAGATATGCAATTTTTTTTTCCTGGTAATAATAATCACTGCAACAAAAAAAATTAACAATATCAATAGTTTTTATTGAAATATTTTCCATTCTATTTAGAGTTGAAAGAATCCTCTTTTCTTATAAGTGGGAATATATGCCATTGATATGTAGCGTTGAGTTCCAATTTTATTTTGTTTGCGCTCCAATTCATATTTTTTATATTTAGATAATTTGGATCTTTTAATTTCATATTATTGAATGTATCATTATTGTCGTTTGTATCTGATTCTGGAAAACAAAAATTAATTAGTCGCAGATTGAAAACTGGCTTTTATTTTTCAACAATTAATTATTATATTTTTTTATAGAAGATATCGGAATTGTAACTATCTTTTACGGAAATGCATATATTATAAAAATAACTATTACTATCAGTCGTAGTAACAATAAGTAAACCCATCAATGATGACTTAAATAATATAATTTCATTGGAAAATCTTAATATTTGTGTTTAAAATGGAAGAAATTTAAAAAAAAGAATAATTATAATAAAAATGTTTTATTTTATATAGGAGCGCCATCTATTTAAAAAAAAATTTATCATATTTTTAAATCTATGTATTAATTGTTCTATCTGATTCCAACGGACACCATCCTTTATATTGTAGATATTCCAGAGGCTGTTTCCCACGGCATTCAAACATTAATAACCTAATCTCAAAAGCTCTTAAAAGGTCCAGTATCCCAAACACCTAAGAGCCCAATCATTTATGCAATTTATCATAATAGAGAGAAAATTACTAAATAAGTGATCGTAATGAAGCCTTCTATTTACATCAAAGTAATTGCATTGATATACATGGTTTCATGTAGCAATCCTAGTAAGCCAGTATCATCTTTGTTTAACTTAATTTAATTTTTTTTAAATAATTTGTTATAAAATATAAATGCGTTATATTTTTATAAAATTGTGATTTGATATTTTTTATATGACCTTTGTTTTAAATTCGTTTTTAATAGAAATTTTTTTTTATGCTATCTCTTTCAAAAAAACGCGATATTAATTTCGCTGGCAGCATAAAAAACTCAGTAAGTAGTTTAGAGCTTAAAGAAATAGTCAAATTGATGAGGTTACATGGATTATATGATTGTTCATTTCAAAGCCAAATTATGAATTTGATATTCGCACACTTCGACTAGCAACAAATAAGCCTCAAATATTATTGAAAGATGAATAATATTATAGCTTTGAATTTTTTCAGTAAATTGATCAAAATACGCAGTATTTTTATTATTAACAATTTAATAGGTTTCTTACACCTCATTTTCGCTAAGACTGTAGCTTGAGTATTTTTAGATCTATACGAATAGTTTAAACTTTAAAGGCTACATCAATATTTAGAAATTTTCGACAGGAATTTCATCTTTATGAAATTTGATTTTTTTTAAAATCAAATGAGCATACTAATCGTGGAATCAATGGCGTAGCCAGAATTTATCCTAAAAATTGATTGTAAATAACTGTATTTTTAAAAAATATAATAACAATAAAATATAAGTAATTCTTGTTGCAATTGACGATATTTAATAAAATATAATTTAAACAATTATAATTAATAGAAATGACTATATTATCAAAATTTAAATAACTCTTATTAAATGAAATACTTTTATTAAAAATAGTATAATATAAAAAATATATTAATATTATGACTAAGAATTTATTATAATTAAGTTTTGCTTATAAAAATTTTATACCTAAGAACATATAATTTGAGATTTGGATAATTATTTAGAATCTCTTTATAAATATAGGGCTAATCCATTTAAACGGTTTTCACCGGTGCTATTTCTTAAATAGATTTTTAACCTTTTCAAAGTTGAAAAAGATCTTTTTCATTAATGCAAATACTAATCGGTAAGGTATCTAAAATAAAAAAACAATATTATGATATTAGACAGGAAATCTAAAGTGCGATTACACATGGAAAAGGCCTGCAAAGCATTTTTGGTCTCAATGAGTATTCATTTTTATACTAAATTCGACATCACAAAGTAACTTATCATACGTTCCTAATAAATCATTAGAGTAAAACTCTGAGATTTTCTTAAAATCCTCTCGCGATTCAAGTGTAATCAACAGTCAGACTAAACCGGCAAAAGAAAATAAAAGCTTGCTGTTTAATTTTACAAAATTAAACGATTTTTCTTTTAATTAAAATTTTTTAAAACTATCTAATTTGTTAAAATATAAATATATATTATTAGTTGTTTTTCTAAAAATATCTTTCGAGATATGCAGATCATATTTTTTCTCCATCCTCAGCGTCAGCTCTACTATGCCAGAAAATATTTACAATATATCATTATAGCCCAACCCCCTGTTATATATTATTTTAGTTCATATAATTTTTTAAACCATGTGATCATTTTAAATTGAAAATTCTTATTTGTTTTTTTAAATATATTTCCTTTTGATATCGTTACATATTATTATATTTCAGTTTTATAAATAAAATTATTCGCAATATAAATTTTTTTTTTATAAAAAATTAGACCCCCCCCCTCCCAATGTCTACGCCACGGCGTGCAATATTAAATCATTTAAATTTTTTTAAACAATAGTAGTAGACAAAAAAAATAAACAATCCAAAACAATAATATAAATTAATTATATAATAATGCAAAACAAATAACATTAAATATTAAAATGTCCTTTCAAAGAATATCGAAATATGTTACTAGTAGAGATTTTAGAAGTTATCTTCTCATACGCATTTTTGGGGACCGATGGTGAATTGGGGCCTACCAATTGCAGCAATTTTAGATTTTAAAAAGAGTCCAGAGATAATTAGTAGCAAAATGACTACTGCTTTATGTATGTATTCATTAATGTTTATGAGGTTTGCATGGGTTGTGCAGCACAGAAATTATTTACTTTTAGCATGCCACAACAAATGAAGCTTTCCAACTTGTCCAAGGATACCTATTGATTAGTTTTCGATTTATGGGCAAAAAAGATTTAGCCTGAGCAATATAGACCATTGATACTATCTATTAGTCAAAACCTTAATGATGCCAAAATTGAAATTCATTTAATCTCAATTTAATAATCTAAATTATATTTAAAGTGTAATATAATATATTGCTAACTGTTATAAATAATAATTGATTCATATATTTGTGCATGGAAATCAAAAATGGTATTAATAAAATTTGATTTTTTTAAAAAAAATAAAATAAATAATGCAAAACAAATAACGTTAAATTTATTTTTTATAAAAATAAATAAGCTCCCCCTTGCGGCCTTACATTCAATTATGTTTAAAATTTTATATACATCTTATTAATTAATTTAAGCGTATATTTTTAATACACTATTGTTGATTTATTTACTGGTAAACACTTGGCGCAGAGGACACCGTGATCATGAAGGCGGTTCCTCTAGTTAGAGGTTTAGACATTGCACTATTGGCTCTGCTGATAGCTATGGCTACTCCAAATGTGAGTACGCTAAGCGCACAATTTATGGGTTTGAGTGGACCGCGTACGCGCGGTCACCACCAAATTATATAATTAATTTAGAAACATAAAAACCTAAACTTTTAGAAAACATAAAATATTTGGCGTATATAAATCCAAATGCCACTTTTTAAGGTTATGCTATAAATACACAGGCCGTGTCCTAGGTTGGTTTAATACTAAATAGCTTGCTATTAGTATCAATTAAATAGCCACAAAAACAAGAATAAAGATACGAAAAATAACAATGCCACCAAATACTTAAAACATACAAATACCAAATTAGAGTGTCCTCGTTCAAAAACTTTTTAGCCTATACTTACTAAAAAGAAATTAAGTATCCAAATTAAGCCGACTTAGGAGACAGCTATAGGATAATAATTTTAATAAATTTTTCAAAAAAAAACTTTAAATATTTCAAATTTTTTTTATTTTAGAATGATGAATTTCACCAATACGTAAACAAACTAAGCAACGAACGGAACGAAATATTGAAATTCGTGATAGCCTCAAAGCACCGTTTGATCCAATTACAGGCATTGGAAGATGAAACTTTTCATCAAGTACGATAAATATATATCATCATTTTACCGAAAATTAAAAGGATATTTAACAAGGTTCTTCCGGAACCGTCAAATTAAGTAAAATTTATAACCTGAATCGATTGAGGAATGGACAGATCGAACCAAAATTCTGGTCGGGTAACCCTGATATTTAACCCTAAAATAATAACAACCCTAAATCTAGTTTGATATTCAAATTAAATTTATTGAAGTTTATAATTTCAAAAATAATTAACAAGTTTAAATTTCAAGATTGGTTTAATTTGATTTTTAACATTTAATTTTAAATATAAAGGCAAATTCTAATTTATCAAAGTTTGCTTTAGTGTATCATATATCCGTATAACCGGGTTCTTACGATGTTTCTCAACTCGAGGGTCCCCATCCTTTCAAAACGTTTTGTAATAAATTTTTTCCTTTCTATTCCCACTATCAACATTTTTGGAACATTCTGGGAATAAATATTTCTCCACGGGTAAGTTGTAATTTCCTGATATGATCATGTTTTATAATATGTAGTTACCTCATTTTATTTTCTAAATATTTGACTGTTTTTTTAATAAAATTTTAATTTATAAATATAAAATTAATTGAATAACCGACAAAAAAATTACTCAAATTATAGCTTGTATTAGAAAAAACTATGCTTGAAAAAGACCGAAATACCGAGATGGAAAATTTGTTTAAAGAACAAAGGGAAATCGGCGAATACCAAAAAATAGGAGAAGAGTATATTCAAAGTTTGGAGCGACAAAAAGATGAAGTTAAATATTTCATTAAATTTGAAATGATTAAATTTTTAACGTCAAAATCATTATAGTATTTAATATACATTATCCTAGTTAGCCTTTATTTATTATTTATTGTAATATTAAAATGTATCTAGTGCTATTAAACGGCTCGATTTAAGCGATTTTTGAAGACTCCTAACTCAATATTTTGTCTAGAAAAATATTACACATGCCTGAAAATTTTGCTCATAGATGGCATAAAGTTTGAACATCTGTTAGTGAAATTTTGAGGCTTAGTAAATATTTCCGTTTTTAAAAGGCTTAAATCGATCCGTTTAACAATGCTAGTCTAGTCGTAGGGTTTAAAATTTAAATCAATGATTGAGCATAAATCAAAATGTCTAAACCCGGTGACTTAGGATTATTATTCAAATATGTTGTTTAAATTTAAATATCTTTAGATCCCATTGCTTATTAGGATTTATTTTTATCGTATCATGTAAATATTTTAAAGAAAGTTATCATTTAAAAATATTTCATTTAATTATTAAAAATAATGAGTCAAATATTATTTTTTTACAATTTAAATGTTCTTATAAAAATGTCCCCTTGTCCTTACTAGAAAAATGACTCGTTATATTAAGAAAGTTAACATTTGTATTCTTCTAATGAACCCGGTTAAAAAAAACTAAAATTACAAAAAATATCATGCAGTGAAACCTTGAAACTACCTTTTAATGTTGACCAAAGCTTAATCGCTCTTAAGTTGTTGCTTTTAGAGGTGTCACTGTATACCGAATTATATAATAGTAACATTGACAACTTATTTTTCTCATATTTTTTTTATCCATTAGAAATTAAGGCATCTCAACAAATTGAAGGAAAATATTGAAAAGAGTAACAATAAAAAAGAATCAACAAAACCTTCCACGCATCGAAACGATATCTCGGTAATTCACCCCCCCCCCTTCTATATTGTATATTTTTATAGTTCAATCTTATTTAATCAATCCGGTCCGATAATGCTCCCAAAACTAATTTTATTCTATTTTTATTGTATTTTATATATATAATTGACTTTATAAATAAATTTGTAAAAGAGCGATAAACATGAATCTCCATTATCTGCCCTTGATGATTCACAACAATATGAAGATTTAGAATTTCAGGTTTTTGAGATGGAATCCAAGATAGAAGAAGAGAGAGAGAGGATAAAGGATAAAATCTTATCTCAAAAAGATAGATTCCTGCAAAAATATAAATATACGCAAGTTAGAATATAAAATTAATGGATGATAATTTTTGTTAAATATTAGGTTTGAATGATATATAATATTTTTCTTAAGCCTATAATATTTTTATACCTGTGCTCTAATTAATGACGCCATTGTATTTCATGCGAATGTTTTTTTTGTTATAATTAGCAAGAATTCAATAATATTATTTTAAAATTTATTTTTAGGATAAATTGGCTAAATTAGAACCCAATCACATCAACAACTTTGAAAAATTACGGACTAATATGGAAATCATAAAGGAAGAAAAAGAAAAAATCAATAATATAATAGCAATCGTAAGTTAACTTTTTTTATAACTCGTAAGAAAGAAGGAAGGAAAGAAAGAAAGAAAGAAAGAAAGAAAGAAAGAAAGAAAGAAAGAAAGAAAGAAAGAAAGAAAGAAAAATTCTTATAATAATTGTTAGAAAAATATCTTTTTGCTATTCCATTCTTAGTTTTGGGAAACTTTTTAAACAGGATTTAGATTTCATATTTCTATCATTTAAAATCCAATCTGATTATTAAATATGCATTATTTTTGATTTTTTCTTATCTTATATTCAATTATTTAAATTTTTTTTTATGAATTGAAAAATTATAATTAGCAAATTGGGGGGGGGCATAATATATTTACTTTTTTTTAAGTAAGCTTGATTTTTTTTGGAATGTTTCGTAGATTTTATGAGAATGTTTATTCTTGAAATACATTATTTTACACTTGGGAAGGGCTCGATTTTGAGTTAAAAACGGCTAACTAAATATTTTAGCCAGGGAAATATTGCCTAGGCCTCAAGATCGCGCTCTTACTAAACCTTTGTGCCATCTGTGAGCAAACAGGCTTACCTAATATTTTTCTACATAAAGCATTGATTTAGCTTTTTTTAAAATCGGCTCAAATCGAGCCCTTTAACAACAATATTTGGTACACATGACAATAATATAGGAATCGAATTGGCCTAATCAGCTGATTTCTTAAACACTAAGAATTCACGTTAACATGATAATTAAATTGTTGTAAAAATTTTTGTATCTAAAAAAAATTATCATCGAAATCTTAATCTTTCAAAGGAAACTAAGAAATTGGAATTACAAGACTCGCTTATGAAAAAATTTCTAATATCCGAGCCAAACGATTTTAAACAAATGAACGACACGCAGGTTCAAAATATTTCGCTATTATTCCTAATATATTACCCTAAACCATAGTACACCCAGGTTTGTTAAAAAGCCCGATTCGAGCCGATTTTTATTAACAACCCTATTTTTAAGCCAAAATAATATTACATAATCCTGGAGATGGAGATTTTGCTTATAAATGGCAGAAAAGTTTGGATCTCTATTTGCATTACCGCTTAATTCTTTTAAAATGAGATATTTTTCAAGATAATGGGGGAGGGGGTTGAATTGCAGATTAAATAGCTGCCTGCCTATTAAAAAATATTTCTATGTGACAGTTTGTAATTACATCCCAATTAGTTATAGTTATTTTTCGAAAAGATATAACTAATGGAGCAATTGAGGGAAAGCATTTGGGTGATTTTTTTCACGATAAATTTTATTGGATAGTTGTATTGTAGGTGCTCTCTTCGAAGTCCTTTAACGTAATTACATTAAAATATTTTCTCAAAAATTTAAATTATAGTCATTTAAAAAATTGTTAACTTATTTATTCTTATTTGTTTATAATAATGATATATTTACTCATTTAATGGTAGGTTAAGAGGGGTAGCAGGAGGAGGGTGTACAATGATATTTGCAATACTAAAGCAAGGGATGGTAAAATATATACACTATAGTAGTGTTGATAAAAAGCTCGGTTTGGGTCGATTTTTAAAAGTAGTCCGATTAAGATTTTGGCCATAATAATATTATCTAGGCCATGAGATTTTGCTCATAGATGGCAGAAAGGTTTAGACCTTCAAATCTCGAGGCTTACATAATATTATTTTGGCTAAAATCTTAATCAGACGATAAAAATCTACCCAAATCGGGCTTCTAACAACACAACATTACATTAATACTTTTTAAAAATTAACATCCAAGTTTAATAAACGTCTTTTCAGATTTCTTTTTTGGGTCCCTTTAATCTTATTATCCGCAATGTTTCCGGCTTTTATATACATTTATATATATATTAATGTATAGAAATCTGATCATTTGTCGCCTAAAAACAATCTTGAGTCACAAATTTTCAACAAATCTCAAAGCCTAAACCGATCTCCGCTTAATGGTTTAATTTTTTTCTATCATTTATATTTGTTACTTTTTTGTTGTTTGAAAGGAAATCGCACTTTTAATTTTAAAAATGTAGCGGTTCATAATACTTTGCCCTAAGAAGGAAATGAAATTCTTAGAGAGAAAGAATGAAAAGTAGAAAGTAATAATGGAAGATAGATAGAAACATGGTTTCTCCTCAAAATAATCTAAAAATAAAAAAATATGACAATTTTTTTTAAAGCTCAAAACTAGACTTTGAATATATATATAAATTTTTCATGATTAAATCATAAAAAAAAATTTTTTAGATCTTCATTTTGGTTTATTTTCGATAATTTTTGCTCAAATTTTGGAAAAAAATCCTCAAAAGCTTATTGAAGATTTTTTGAAACCAGAAAAGAAATGAAGAGAAAAAAAAATAAAATAATTTGTTATATCTTGTATTTGTTAAAAGTTTTATTATTACATAACTATATCATTATTTCAATTTTATTGCTATCCTATCAAAAATATCCGCATAATATAGCTTCAATTACAAACGAAGAACCCCTTTTTCAAAGCCAAGTTCTCAATAATAAATTGATGGAGACGAATCAAGAAGAACTCTTGAGGAAACGTGCTTCCGAGGAAATAAAACATTTTTGGAAGAATCTCGCCTCTTCTCCACCCCACAATAACCATGTTTACCACTTAAACGATATGAATTATTCTCCCTGCAAAGACAACTCTCTCCTTAATAATTCAATCAACGGTTACGATAAAAAATCAAAACCGAGAAATCGTAATCACACTCATGAAAAAACTAGTCTACTTTGTAAACCTTTGCCCGAAAAGTGTGCCAACTCATTGTTGGATTCGAAGATTGAAGAAGTCATGTTATCCTTACAAGGAATTCGAGGCATTAAATACCCGCTTCATTCGCCATCCAATTCAATTAAGTCAGTTTTACATATTTTAGGTCCGGTCAGGTCCGAGTATTTTTTTTATTGATTTTAAAGCTTAAAAATAAATTTATATAGTTTCTAATTGCATTATGTTTTAGATTTTAATATTCTAATTATTGAACATTTTTAAATTTAACTATTGTTCCTGTCTTAGAAACACAATTATGCTTTTCTTTAAATTATTTTGGTTTGGAATTTTTTTTATATATAACTTCCTGTAATGCTTTTTAATTTCATACAACTTTATATAGATTTCTTATATTTTAGAAATAAAAATAATTCTTAAAATATTAAAAAATATATATCAATCAAATGTTAAAAAAATAAAGTAAAACATTCTTTTTACAGATTAATACGTTTTACACAGTGTTTTGATCAATAAATTGATTCTAAATGTAAAATATTAAAATCATTATAATATAAAAATCCATAACCACTAAAATTTAACTTTATTAATGAAAAGATTTAATCATTCAATCGTAAATGGAAGAAATACAAGGACTTCTTTATTCAGAAAACTTTCACAAGAATCTAGAGAAGTATATAATAAAATTCAAAATAATATTTAATAGTCAAGCTTAATATTATTATGCAAAATTTTATTGAGCTCTATAAATTATCAAAAAACAAAATTTTTAAAATAACTTTTTTTTAAATTTTTAAATGTTTTTTTAATAAGGCCTTTGCAATTTACTCGCAAATTTTTTAAGTATTATATTATATATATATATACTATAATCAGTCTTGTGTCATTAAGAGCCAAATGAGTTTTTTTTATTTAGTACAGAGAAAATCTTTCCCTCATGTCCAAATCACTGATTGACTCAACGACCATCGATTCTCAGCAACAGCTACTAGATACAACGAGGCCATCTCATTGCGAAAATAAGGACTTTTCTCAAACACAAAACGATAATTTTTACGATTTTAACACTCTGCCACTAATTCACTTAGCCTCGACCTCTACACTTAGTAGCCTGTCTCCACCTTCTTCAACTTCCAACTCTTCTAACAAGGAGACAGTTAATCTTAGTAATAGAGAAACTGCAAAAATTTTATTATCTTCAACCAATAACGTATCAAGAAAAAATGTTAATGTGCTGAGCCCAAGCGCTCATCTTCTTAACGATTACGATAGCAAAGAAACAGAAAAGAGTGTCCAATTGCCTTATAACAACGATTATTTTAATCAATACTTTAGCAGTAATCCCTCTATGCCACACCTTTATCAAAGATCTGGCAACAGTTTTAACAACAATAATTATGATGCCCATCAAAACGACCCTGCTCGTTTTAACGATTTAACATATGCCTCGAAAGGAAGCTGTAATATTGCAATTACTCGTCCATGCATCACAGATTTAGTGAGTTACGTGAACAACATAGGTGGGCATAGTTTGGAGAGGCACGAAAAGTTGATTGGTGTCACTAAGACTTGTGCTAGGGGATATTTATTCGTAAAATGATTATTTATTGATTTTTTTTTTCTGTTGTCATTTTATATCAAGATCAAGAATATTCTAAGCTCATCTCAAAGCTATAATATTGAACTTTTTGATTTTATTCACACTTTCAACAATGCTAAGAAAGTGTTTAATGTTTCAGATACTTATTATAATCCTCAGAGACCTGCAGAGCTACCATTTGCACGGCCCAACCCGGATTTTTTTAAGCGGGGTTTATATTTTCAGGCCCGGCCCTGATTTTTAATATATTACATTTATTTTTAATTTTTACAGCTAATAAAGGCGATTTAAAATTTTCGGTTTTAAAATATACGGCTCGGCTTTAGAAAAAGACGGCCAGCGGGCCCGGATATATTTAAAAAATAACAAATTATCATTTTAAAAATATCAAATCATCTTTATATTATCGGAACGGTTCTACAGTTCACTTATAACGTTTTCTTACAATAACTACCATTTTTATTTGTGTTCCAAAAATCTTAAAATAATTTATGAGGGTCCCATGTCTAATCATAAACCTCATAACCTCCACTCCCTTTTGATTTTAATGAAAAATTTGTGTGATATACACAATTCTAGCATTTTATCTTTTATGTTTCCTGAAATATTAGGGTTCAAAAGTGCAAAAATCAACCATTTAAACTTTACATTTATCAAGCTAAATATATTAATTATAATTTAAGTATAGGATGATTAATTTATAGGAAATTTTTTTTATGATGGTCATCTTATTTTCAGTTGTTTAAAGTTTTTTTGAAGGACTTGTTACCCTTCAATTTTTTTTGGAATATTTTTTCTAAAATTCGTTTACCAATAAAAATAAATAAAATTCATGTATCCGTATTGATTCAAAAAATATTGGTAGTAAAAAATGCAAACAAAAAATTATAGATGGCGTTAAATTTTTAAATACAAATGCGAGTAAATATTATTTATATTTATTACACATTATATATGTTTGAACATAATATTACATCGGATTACATATTTATTATTATATTAAGATGATATTCCTGATTTCTTATCGTAATTTTTTATTTTGTTATTGATAGAATTAAAATATTTTTAAATAAATTTAACATAATAATTTTAGAAATAATTGAATGCCCGATTAACTAATGAGATTTCTTGAGATGATAACATATGGTTGCAATAGTTAATGGGTTGAAATAAAGAGAACAGGATACTAAATTTTGGTAAATTCAAAATGTTATCGAAAATTTAAAAGTATACTGATGAGTGATGACCCTTTACGGTATATAAGTTTTATCCACATCTTAAATTGTTCCATTTACTAATCCTAACTACCATTGCTATATTTTCTCATTTAAATTCGATTTTATATATATTTTATATATATTTCATATTTATCATATACTATTTTGATTGATGAGATAACCTGTATGGATTTGAGTCCCAGTTATGGCCTTTGTAAAAGAATATCCCTGAAAAGCAATATCTTCTCTTTGATAATCTTTATTTTTGAGGTATTCAAATTTTTTTAAATAGTTTTCTTTAGAAGGTCAAAGTATGATTTTTTAAATCTAGCTTTTGAAGAATCGCTCTCCGTACTAATCTTTTCAATCTATCTTCAATGCCACAGGTATGTTTTCCATGAGCCGTGAGAAAAAATGGCATCCATCTGAATGTCAAAGTCGGCATTATGATAACACATGCTTAATACATTTTTATTTTTATATTAGAAGAAAAGTTTATCATCATTTTGGCTTAGACATAAATTTACCGATTTTAAATTGAAATCGCAGTTCAAATAACATAATTCTCCTTCCCCAACTTTCCTTCATTTTAATAATAGGCTACTGGTAGTTAAATTTAATCTGAATATTGTTCCTATGGAATTTTTTTGGAATAAATCTAGTATTGTTAAAACTCCCTTTCGCAACTATAAATTTTCAATAACGATTCATTGGGCAGATATCTATTTATTTCTAATAAATCATGCTTTTTTAAAAAAAGTCTTCTGTACCCTGACATTGATCACAATTGCCAAATTATCCTACAAAATATCTAACTATACCGATATTTTTTTTTATAAAATTGGTATACATTCTATAATAGTGCCTGAAAACATATCTAATTAATATAAAAAAATTTAAGTTCAGGTTAATTCTATTGCCGTTTTATTTTTATGTTTATGGCTCACTTCAATTTTCTTTTGGTCAATATGCCCAAAAGATGTTATATGTTAATTTTTTTAAATAGAAATTAAGCTTCAAATTTAAGATATGGCAAAAACGGTGGTTTGTATTCGATAAACTTAAACGAAACATCACATACTACGTTGAAAAATCGGAATTGAAGCCGAAAGGTGTCATTTATTTCCAAGCCATCGAAGAAGTATTTATTTGTTTATCCTTTTTAAAATAAATTCAGTAATATTGAAGAAACTTGTAAGACTTTGAATATTTTTTTGATAATTTGTGTAAGTCTTTGTAATAAAATGAAGGAAATATTGAATTTATAAATAATCATATTTTACAGGGCCCCTGAAAACGGGAGCATATTATACTATTTTAGGAGTCAACAAATTTTGGTTCTTGTGCATTATTTGATATTTTTTTGCTTTGATTTTCTCGTCTTATGGCTAAAGTTGAGATTACAACTTATAAGATGTGGCGTAATTATATCATATCCTAAGCGAAAGCAATGTGTAATTCGAAGTTTTCATTAAATAAAATAAGTCAAAGGACGAAACTTGAGATGAATTCTGAGTTGAAATAATGGATATCTGAGAGATGTGAGGAGTTAGTATCACTGAATTTTTCTAAATTTCTATTATTTGAGTGGGTGAAAACGGGGTAAGGTGGGAGGGGGTGTGGTAGAATGCCTATAATAAATAAATAAATATAGCCCCAATTTTACAAACAATTTTATTTAAGCTTCTTTTTAAAAATTTGAATATGTTTTTTGCATCCTGGGTAAAATATGATGCCTAAACGACTGTTTATCTGGGAAGGGACGAGTCTCGGGCTTACGTTTAACTTTCTCTAATGGCAAGGCAATGGTATAATGATTATTGTGGACGATGGTCATTGATGACTGTTTGTTAGATCACGCTGTTTTTATGAATTATAGAATGAATTATTTATATTATTAAATTATTCTCGTATAAGTTTAAAATGTTATACAAATGTCAAATGATAAATATCTATATAATTTATTTTAAAAAATAGGTTTACACAGACCATGCTTCGAGTTACAAACCTCCCACCCTTGAAACATCCTTTTGCTTAAAGACTTACGAAAAATTATACTACTTATGCACAGCTTCGTCAGAGATTTCAAGAATATGGGTCGATCTACTGAGCCTAGGAATCGAAGGGCGAAATGTTTACAACTCTTAAAAAACATTTTTATTATAGTATATATGCGCTATTTTTTTAGAGGAACTACTAATTATTTAAACAAATATTTTATATTTAAATATATTATACCTTTGCTGGGTTATAGTATTACCCTATCCCCTAAAATTCATATAAATTTTTTTGAGTGAGCGACTTAATTTGAACATCTATAAAAATTAGAGCAAATCCGATCATGCCCTGCAATTTTTTAAAATTCCTTTGTTATAATATAATTATCTTAACATTTTATGTATTCTATATATTTTGCGTGAACGTGCTGCCGTGAATATCACTAAATTTGCACTCATTTTGTGAAAAAACTTGTTTTCACTATAATACTAAAGGTTTAATGATACACCTAATATTTGACAAATTTTATATAAAAAAGATATATGATAATATTCTATAACCATAAATATCTGATAAAATGCATTTAGCAATCGTTTATATTAAAAAAAAACTAAGCTCAAAAAATTTATAAATTTATACTTTTTGATTACGGGAATTTTTACTATTTTTTTTAAAAAAATATATAAAACAAACAATTAATCCCTTTTTTTTTATATTGAAAAACGTTTTTATAACGGAATATTTCTTACTTTATATTCCTATATAATTTTTTTATATATTTATTTTTACCTTGTGACATTATGATACAACAAATTTTTACTTTTGAATACATAACATAAATTATAATAATATATTGTTTGTAAATTATAATAAATAAAAGAGTATTATGACAATTTCATGAAGATTTTTGAGTTGATATAGTATTGGCTGAATATTTGTTTAAATATTCACTATTTATGAATAATTTAAAATTAATAATTATGATGTAATGTTTGTTGGGAGTGATATATTAAGGTAAAACATCCTCTCTTAAATAGGATTTTGGAAGTCAATCGAATTGAGCCTATGATTTATAAAGAATAATTTTTTGAAATATTTTATAGCAAATAGCTCTCGGACTCGGACCTTCAGACTTAAGCGTGTGTCAGACGGATTTAATATTTTTTTTATATAATCATTATGCAGGAGATTGATTTTTTAATTTGAAATAAATATAAATTCATTGTAAATTATAGGTTTTTTATTCTCCTCATTTATTAGTGGATTGGGATTAAATTGATATTGGGCTTATTAATCAAATTTTTTAAATTATCCCACTTTTTAATATCTCAAAGTTTATTAAAATAAAATTGATTTACAAAAATATAACTACTTTTTATATTCGATTTACAATATTTTGATATAATTTTTATGTTGAGTGGTTCTGGTTAGATTACTGGCTTAATTATTATTTTTGATTAAAATTTCTTATAATCAATCTTATTAAATTGATTAATTTTACATAAATCCAATACCTATAGATAGTGTTTGCAGTGATCCAGTTCGGTTTCACTTGACTATTGGATTCAATGGGACTATCCGATCCAACCGAAGACCTATTAAAAATGATAAAAGTTTACTATGAATTGCTTTTTAGGAAATGTATATGTTCATGAATACATAAAACATGATTATTTAATGCCTAACACTTTATAATATCTCATTCATCGTTACTTTTTTTATTCTTCCGTTTCATTCATTCGTCAAGTAATTTAATATATTATTAATGGAAATTGAAATCATAGAAGGTTATAATATTATTGAATCACCACCCTCAGCCAAAGAATAAATATATTTAGAAAATAGTATTTGTAATGCAAATGAAAAAAATTTATAAAATTCAAATTTGAAAATATGTTAAAGAATTGTATAAAATTTTTGAAAGGATAATTCTCGGAAAACATGTAAAATATGTCTCCACATATTTCCAATTCTTCAAGCACAAGTATATTATGCATATATATCAAATTGAGAGCTCAAAATTTTAAATAAATGAATAAAAATTTCATCAAATAAACCTACTTATAGTTATGATTAGGCTGGAAACAATAAAAACCCAAGATTAACGAAATATTGTATTGGTATTGGATGGGTAAAAAATGGAATAATTTTTGATTTTTTAGATGATAAATTAGAATATTTATTTATAAATCAGTTTTATTTTATGACCAAATACCTATCACATTCAAAAACGAATTAAATATGCTAATCAAATTGATTTAAATTATATTCAATAAATTTTTATTGGTTTAATCTTTTTGTATAAATAATATTAAAAATGATTTGATGATATAATTAAAATATTGGTAATTTAACACATTTCATTTTTAATAAATTTCATGCAGAGTAAAACTTTTATAGCTTAACAAAAAAAAATTCTTAGACGGGACAGGATGGAGAGAGAAAAAAAGTATGAAGTAAAAAGAATCAATGGAAAGGGAGAAGAAGGAATGGAAGTGATGAATAATGGATGGCTGATAGGAAGGAGTGATAAAATTCGAACATGAAAGAAAAAATAGAAGTCGAGAAGCATAAAGATTAGAATTTAATTTTGTTATATTTTATCTATTATAAAATTAAATTTTCTTTCTCCTTGACCTTAATTAGTCAAAATTATTTGTAATTTTACATTATATTTTCACTATCATAAAACTTTATACAATTCATTAAGATATGTGAATCAGAGACCTTCATGGGCCTTAATTTTTTGACCAAGCCCGGCCCAGGCCCGCAGTAAAAAAAATTTTCAGGCCCAAGTTCGGCCCTGCTCATATTTAATGTTAAAAAATTTTCCCAAGCCAATGATAAGTTTCAAAAAAATTTCCCAAGCCCATATCAAAAAATTTAATTTTTTTTTATTTAATGAAAATAAACAATATTTAAATATATGTTGTAATAATTAGAATGTTATTGTATTTAATTAAATAGTGGTATATATAAATTTAAATAGTTACGGAAAATAGTTATTTTTTATATATAAAGTTAAATATGAAAATTTGAATATGAATAGGACGAGATTATATGATGTAAATTTTAGTAGTATAAATATCAGAGACCTGCAGGCCCGGCCCTACCCGGCCAGGCCCGGGTACTAGGGCCGGGCCATATTTTAAATTTTTATAATATACCCGGGCCGGGCCTGAAAATTTTTTTTTTTAAAAAACCCGGGCCGGACCTGAAAATTTTTTTTTAAAAATACCCGGGCAGGGCCGGGCCGTATTTTTTTAAAAAATTTATACAACATGAATTATTATATTCGTCAATTAGATATGGTTATAATGATTATATATAGTTATGATTAATATAATGTTTGGTGAAAGTTAACACTAGCTAACACTCATAGTATCTATTACATAATAAAATTATAGTTTTTCTGCCATGGAATAAATACGCAAAGGATTAAATACATTTTTATTAATATATATGTTATATTTTTTATTAAAAATATCATTTTTAAATTTTTTATAAATACATAGTATTTGTAATATACTATTTTGTTGTTAAACGGCTCATTTTGAGCCGATTTTTAAAAACGGCTAACTAAGTTTTTTATCCAGAAAAATATTATGCAAGCCTGAAAATTTTGCTCATAGAAGGAGCAAAGGTCTAGACATATAGTATCGAAATTTCGAGGCTTAGTCAATATTTTTCTGGCAAAAATATTGAGTTTTAAAAATCGGCTCAAAACGAGCCGTTTAACAATATAAGCTAATATACTTGCTTATTAAATGATAATACTCGCCGAAAAATATGATAAAATACGAAATAATGAAATTTTTAAATATACCAAGTCGAATATAATTTTTAAAATTCCGAGACGGGCCTAAAAAAAAATTTTTTTTTAATCTAGGCCGGGCCGGGCCCCAAATTTTTTTTTTAAATATTCGGGCCGGGCCTTAAAATTTTAGTAGACTTTAATTTTTATTTTGCTTTTTAATATTTGTTATATTAATTTATAATTTATTTAATTACAATTAATATTATTTAATAAAGTAATTAGTATTTAATTTATTTATTCTATATTATTTGTATTCTTTAAATTCTCATATCAAACAATTTAGGCAATCATTTTGTTTACAATACTGAAATTTATTATTATCAGAAGAAAAAAGTCAATATTTCTTTAAATTAGCAACTGTTTTAAATAATTTAAATTTAATGATTTTAGGCCCAAGTCCAGCCCAAGCCCATTAAAAAAAAATTGTCAAATCCAGGCCCGGCCCATGAAGAGCTCTGACGAGAATAAGAATAATTATATTATTTACTTAGGAATTTTAAGTTATATTTTCTCTAACTAGTTATTAATTAATTAATAATTGCTTCTTCTTCTTTAACATAAATGGCAATTTATATAATATTGTAATATCACACGCACACAAACAAAGTATACCATATTGTTATAAACACAACCAAAGATACACAATATTGATTACATAAGACAAGCATAAACATATTAATTTGTATTAAAATTACTTAAACAAATTTCCCTTATTGTAACAATGATTACCATAAATCAGACATATGCGCGATTACTTACTATTAATGTATATAGAAGAATTGAATTTTGAGAAAGAGCAAGCATAGAAACGAAACCAGAAAAAGAGACGTTAAAAGACGAAGGGTAGTGGTGAGTAAAAGAATTGATAACGATGTAGGATAAGACAAAGGCTGACAATGGAACAAAGGGAATTGTTGTAGTTGAAATATGATAATGACGAAAGAGTTAGAGCATTGATGTACAAGTACATCAGATGCGGGAAGTATTGAAAAAATAAAAATCTGGAAACTAGTGATTACAAAGCTAGGATTTGGGTTGTAGGGAAATCAATCTGAGAGAGAGAGTAGAATGAGAGAAACACGGAAACAATGATGAGAGATGATGGAAATGAAAAAGTATCAAAGGATGGGGACAAGGCGAAATAAAGAGGGGAGATGTCATATATGAAGATATATGTAGTGTTGAATAGAATGAAGAAAAGAAAATTGAGGCATTCATTCATTATTATCATTATTCCTGATTTTTAATTATATTTTTAATATTTTAATTTGAATATTCTTTTAATTTTTGATGTTGATTTGATTGTACAATAAAGATTGAATATATAATCAGGTTAATAAATATATATTATACATATGATATATAAACATATAAATAACCTTAGTGATAGAGTGTCCTGATAAGAGCGGATATTTAGGGCTCGAATCTTTAATAGATAATTTCGAGTCTGATATAAATTTTTCTCTGAAAAAACACATATAATTATTAACCATCTTAGTGATCAATGTTACCACTGTTTATGATATCTATTTTATATGAAATAAAGAGCTCATAAACCAGCTATTTTTAAATATTATAAAAAAAAATATCCTCGAGCTTTATTTTCTGGAGATTTTTTTTCAGATTTTCAATTTTACTTAACATTGATAAAGTTTTGTTTACCATTTGTAACTAAATTTTTCAATGCGAGCAGCCAAATGTTTAACAGGTACCAAGAGCAGCGTCTTCGTAAGAAAAAAAGTTCTGGCAATTGGCTTACATTTACTCCCCACTTCCAAACAACTTTTTACAATATGCACCGCCCAATAGAGTTCTAAACCAGTCGGGAAGGTTATTAAATTTTAAATGGGGGGGGGGGGGGTAATTTGAAATATTTTCGGGCGAAATAAGCAGAAAGGATTTATATTTTTTTATAAAGTGAAGATAAAATAAGAAAAACAAACCAATAAAAATAATTTTCAACATTGAGTGGACGGGGTAG